AACCGGCGACCTTTAGATCTTCAGTTTAACGCTCTCCCGACTGAGCTATCATGGCGACGGTACATGTAGCAGTGGTGCTCTGTGAGTAGTCGCTATAGTATGCGCGAAGTAATCAAGGAAAAATGAAAGATAATGAAAAGTTTCTCGGTTTTGGAAGCATACTAGATACTAGTTGCCACGACAGATCCTCATTGATGGCGGAAACGTCGGCTGTTAAGGAAGTGACGCTAGTCAAGGAGGTACTTATTAATGTCAGACATGCCAGGAGCAGGAATCAAACCGGCGACCTTCAAATCTTCAGTCTGGCTCTGTCCCGACTGAGCTATGATGGCGATTGTTAGCCTAACAGAGGTGGCTCCGAGCGCTGGCTTTACTATCAGATAAGTAATTCAGGAAAAATGAAATATAATAAAAAGTTTCTCAGTTTTAGAAGCATAGTACATACTAGTTGCCGCGACAGATCCTCATTGATGGTGGAAACGTCGGCTGTTAAAAAAAGTGACGCTAGTAAAGGAGGTGGTTATTAATCTCAGACATGCCACGAGCCGTGATCGAACGGGCGTCCTTTGCATCTTCAATCTAAGGCTCTCGCGTCTGAGCTGTCACCACGATGGTTCCCCTAAGAGGTGGTCAATCGAAATTAGAAAAAAGGAAAGGAATTTTTTATTGAACCTAATTTTTCCCTATAATTATCCTTCTTGTTCGTATCACCAGATACGAATTAACCATTTAAGAAAGTACCTTATAGCAATCGTGGTAATGGTTTTCTATTATAACGGTAGCAGTTACTTATAAAACCAAAATACCCAAATTACTTTACAAGTCTTTCAGGTTTTTTTGCTAATGCTGGAGGTAGAAAGCAATTGTAAGCGGATTGTAAACGTTCCTGTAAAGTTTAATTGACTACGGGCCAAAAAGTCACAGATCACAGAGCCTTTCCGTTAATCTAGATAATCTAAAACCGTAGTAACTCGTGTTCTTGTAAAGTTGCAAAATGTTTGCTTTATTTTTAAATCTTTTTTACTCTTTCAAATTTTTATTGCTCCTCTTTTGATTGGATCGGATATTCACCTAGATTCAGTTCTGTGTACTGAGAAGATACATGGAAAAACGACTGAGAAGCGTTCAACGTCAAAAAAACAAAAAGTTTCTACGCTGTCGTTGATTCAGATATTCAAAACCACAAAATGTACACGTTCTCCTACTTCGACGCATCGAACGAGGCTTCTGCAGCACTAACCGCAGACGCGCTACCAAATCAGGATTGTTCTTTCAAGTACCATCTTATATAACAATAAAAAAGACCCTTTTCGTTGATGGGACTCCTCTTGCAAAAAAAAGACTTGATGGAATTTGCAACAGATCAAGCGTTCCTTTCTCTCTAAAAGAAAGGATTCCTCCAGGAACAATCTAATAAATTCAATAACTTAATGAATCAATCGACCTCTTGTCATGAACATAAATGTTGTAATTCTAATGACTATCATTGCATTATTTTCACTATTTTTTCATTATATTTCATTTTTTCTAGGTTACATTTCCGATACACGAGCGACTCGACGCCGAGCGCCACTCAACCGTCACCATGACAGCTCAATCGGAAGAGTTTTAGACGGAAGACTTGAAGGTCGCCGGTTCGATCCGACTCATAGCACATCTAAGGTAACGCCCACTTGTTTCACTGCTACAACTTTTTTCTTTAGCACATGATATTTTTTACTGTTTGCGTCATAGTGACAATCCCTTACAGATGACTACAGATCCTCGTAATGAAATAGACCGTTGTCTTGTTCCCCTTATGAGAACCACATAAAATTAGCCGACTTCAGGAGCACAGTACATACTAGTTGTGACTAGCTAATCTATTGGTAAAACTTGCTGGACTGCTAGTCAAAATAAAATTTTTGGGACAGCTTTATGCTTTTGCGCAATGTTATGCAGTAATAACGTTTCATTCAAATGTAACAGGTTTTTTAATGATCAAAGCACAAGTTCCAGTTCTTTTAAACTACCACTCAACGTTCAATTCACTGCTACAGACCACCAATTATCAAACTGCTACAATGGCCCCTAATCACAGTTAAGCACAATACAGATATCTGGAACGAAATCATAATAAAAGTTCATTTGCTAGATCAAAATTTACTCTTCAGAGCGCATACTCGTAAGTGCCAGAAGGTACGGAAGGCACCCAACAACTCTTCCAACCCATCTCTTCACTTTAACTTTTTTTTTAACTTTTTTTAGTAAGCGTATTAGACTGTTGGTAAAAGAGCAAGTATTTCTGCAGCTGTACAAGTTGCGAGGAAATGAAGCTTCCAGAAATCTGCTGGTGACACGGGCATCTAAAAATTAATAGACTGATAAAAAAAACCAA